CACTCTTGTAGTTCAACAGCTTGAGAGTGGAAAAGAGGGCAAGAATAGATTAGAAATCCACTACTATGAATGAAAAGTTATTCCGTTTAATTTAAAGTAAAATGCTTATACTAAAACTCAATCTTTTGTGTATACGATAGTCGTGTAGGATGAAAATAAAGACACTGCTTGTATTTGCACCCCCCCCTCATCCGCAGAAAAATCTCGGCCCCAAGTGGCCCCCTTCATATTCAACACCTTCTGTACAACAGCCTTTCTGCTGACGCGTGCCTCTTCATCTTTGATGAAATTGTCCAGCCATATAGGATGAACGATATTACATAGCAGTTAGGTACACTTTTCCTTTTTTCTAACAACGTTTTCTTATTTCTTAATACTTTGCTTAGCTTCTGAACAGCATCTTTCGTTATTTCGACTTTGGATTTCGGTGTCGCATTTTACGTTATTTTTAAAAACATTTTCCGCACATTCAAATTTTAATTCTTGTTTGATTTTGTTGTCTCCCATTCGTCGTCCACATCTTGGGCTGTTCCTTCCCTTGACAACCATACATTCTGTCTGCTTACAATGATGCTTAGTCTTTTCTTCTCGCTTTCTTTTACCACCTTCCGTTGAAGTTACTGTAGATTCTATTAAGTTCACTAGTAATGGATAACGACTCAGATTGAGGAATCGGAGAATTCCAGCCGAATCCATTATATTCACTTACGTGCTAATACTCTTGGGAAAGGTATGACTCCTCTCCTTCTCCCCCCAGCTATGGGTAAATTGCAGAATAGACCGAATTCTATAGCCTTGGATGGCAACTGGTCTACCGCAGAAAGGAATGGCAACATACTGCTGGAAAAATCTGCCTCGTCAGTCATGTATCGAAAGATACATGTATCACGCATGGCACATAAAAAAATCGACAGATGATGTTCATGCATAAAGACAATGCTCTAGAATTAATGCAGAAAAACGAAGTGATATCTGAAATGAAGTCGTATCTGAAGAAATTCCCCTTTACAGGCTACGTAAGGTAGCATTAAAATAAATAGTAATTAAGATCGATTAGTGAGGCAGGCTTTATATTAGCGATGTGCATACAAACCTACTCAGATTATAAATAAATATCTATAGTGACGATACCACAGTGTATGGGTTCGCTTCTAGAAATTACAATATCCAGAGTTCGGCAGCTAATCTCTCTCCTCTAATTAAGCTATAACAGTCCAATGGGCTAAACTGGTATGTAACTATCAACAGATCAAAAACATCGCTCGTAATTTTACATAATCGTTACTGTAGATTCCTTTCTGTCTCTGCTGTCAGCACTGTGTCATCTGCATCCTTTATTTTATTAATATTGTGGTCACCAATAATGAATCCAGGTAGAACTTCTTATCCTCTCAGGATATCCTCATTGTCAGGTTGATTTGAGTTCAGATTGAAGAATCGGAGAGCCGAGTTCGAATTCCAGTCGAATCCATTACATTCACTTACGTGCTAATACCCTTGGGAAAGGTATAAATCCCATTCCTCCTCCAAGCTATAGGTAAATAGCAGGACAAACCGGGTTCTATAGCCTTGGATGGCAACTGGGCTACTGCAGAAAGAAATGGCAACCTACTGAGGGAAAAATGCCTCGCCAGTCATGTATCGAAAGATACATGATCGCCTAAGCGCGTACCAAGCAAGGCACATAACTGTTTCAGGCCCACCCTGACCTGGCATCCTATCTTCAGTCACTTACCCAATGCTTTAATGTCATTTCCCTGTGCTTTTCTATAATGACTTCCGTGATAATTGTCTGGATGAACTTTCCAGGATGGTATCTTTACTTGACGAATTTAAGTGCAGACTCGGACTGAGAAATTAGAGAGCCGAGTTCAAATTCCAGTCAAATCCATTACATTCATTTACGTGCTAATAACCTTGGGAAAGGTATGAATTCTCTTCTTCTCCCCCAGCTATGGGTAAATAGCAAGACAAACCGGGTTCTGTAGCCTTGGATGGCAACTCCTCTACCGCAGAAATAAATGGCAAACTATTGCTGGAAAAAAATCTGCTTCGTCAGTCATTATCGAAAGATACATGATCGCCTAAACGTGTATTACGCATGGTCCATAATTGATTGATCCTCATTGTAAAGGTTGAATAGTCCTGGTGAGAAGACACATTGTCTATCTTACACCTCTTTCTAATTTTGTATATTTTCTTAATTCATTTTCTATCCGTATGCAGGCGTCTTGCTCCTAGTATACTTTATGGATTATACTAATGTACTCCCAAAATATATCAAGCTTACCCCGCAGTTCAAATAGTTCTTTGTGTCGTACTCTACAGTTTCAAATAACTCGAATGTAGTTTTAGTTGATCAACGAAGAGTATATTGTGAACAGTTTACAATAATGCATTTTCTGTGACAAATCTGCCGAGCAGATCTTGGAAATCGGAGCCATGTTGAAATGTGTGTGGATGAATCAGAAAATAGGAGCGGGTATTTGGGCGGTAACCGCCCATTACGCCTGCTTGACTTTGAAAGGAAAAAACACAAGGCGGATGTGGAGCGGTCTTTTTTGCGACTGTTAAGTGTTGTGTAAAGTGTGACTGTTTCGCACTCAGTACTGATTCAGCAGCTTTCATTCTATAAATACAGTGGTTAAGACCCACTTAAATACAGCTCCAAACTTAATTGTCATCTTAATTAGCACCTATCAGAGGCGAGAATCTAATCGGATCAGGCACTGGAGAGATAATAAATAATTTAAAAGCAGCCAAATTTAAAAATATGAGAAAATAAATAAAAGCACTTGTTAACGGTAAGATAGACTTTGGGCTAATCTGGTAAAAATCTGCGGAACTCGAACAATAATGGTGATGAGCATATATCTAGGCCTCAAATTTTATGCCTTCTTATTCTTTTTGTGATGTGTCCCTTCAGAACATGGTCGATCATAGCTCTCCACAACTTCCTCTCCTTTGTAGCTCTAAACAATTTTTGTCCTCTTCATATCCCTCCCAATTTCTGTTGATAGAAAATGCATAAAGAAAACTACAGGAACTCTTAGACAAAGTAGTAAACGAAATGCAGAAGAAAGGACTAACGACCAATTTAAGAAGACAGAACCTGTGGTCGTTAGCAGGAGGGACAATGTTAAATGCGAGCTACATATTGAAAAAGTTCGAAATTAAGCAAGTATTGGAATTTGTCTATATGATAATTGTCTAAACAGACGACGGAAAATGAGACATCAAAATCCAAATGTACTTTGAAATAGCGAAAGATGCTTTCGGAAAGCTCAACAAAGTATTAAGAAATGACAATATTTCCCTAGAAACAAAAGGAAAGAAAGCTGAACAGTTATTCAATATCAGTCCTCCTATATGTCAGTGTATGCTGGGGCATCTCAAGGATGCTTAACAGACATTATTTTTCTGCTATATATGATAACGATATGGACACCTCGAGGTGGTGTAATGGTTAGCAAGCTTGTCTCGCTAAATCAATTACGACTGAGTACTGAGTTCGATTCTCACTGGTTGTCCCCTACTTTCGGCCTCGTGCCATATCTACGCTTGGAAAATCACTAAGTCAGTGAATACTGGACAATTTCCTCGCAGATAAAGACGAAACTTCAGGCAACAGAGATGAGATTCTAGAGAAGGAATCTGAGAATACCATGGACATAGCCTGTGACCAACGGTGAAATTTTAAAACAAATGGCAACAAAAAGAACATTTGTACTTAGAATGAAATAGAAACAGTTAACGTTATCGGAAAACATAATAAGGAAATAGGGCTTGGAGAATTTAACACTCACAGGACAGATTGAAAGCCAGAGAGGAAGAGGGAAACAATGAGTACACTACCTAGTGTAAATGAATGGCAGGACAAGGACTGGTGATAGGGGACAAACATTGTTTTGTGTTACAAAAAAATGAAAGTTGTGGAAAGCCGGGATCACCCACGTTCTGTAAGGGCACAGTGCATCAAGGAAGAAGACGCCCAGCTTTATACGGGGCAAGACCAAACCGAGGAAAATAATAACAATAACTATGTGTTGGGCTTGTAACAGAGCTTGTTCATCTTCAAGATCAGAGTCCTAGGTATGATGATAAACTACATCCGGCAACAAGGCCTCTGTTCGGAAGTGTAGAGATTTCGAGGAGTGTGGAGGCACTTATTAATTGCTGCTATTCTCAGGTCTACCCTGAGGTGAGGTGGTAGCCCCTTTTAGGGTTACATCTATGGAAAAATAGTGAACTCCCAAAAAAACTCTAGGAAAGTATAAAAATATATTTTTATAATAAAGATAGCAGCCACACACACACACACACACACACACACACACACACACACACACACATATATATATATATATATATATATATATAAAATAAAAACAGACCACTTTAAAGTTCCATGTAATAAATTATTCCACCACAGCCCTTTTAAAGTTTTAAACGACTGCGGATCATCAAACTTTACTTCCAAACAAGAAACAAAAAAAAAATAGTTTTTCTTAAACTATATATATATATATATATATATATATATATATATATATATAAATTACCACCAATACATTTTGTAGTAGAATTACCAACAATATATTTTATAGCAAAATGACCAGCAATACATTTAATCTGTAGATGAAGTTATACAATTGCGATCAAAATACGTTTAGTTAGTCATAAAATTGTGTTCCAGATATTTAGATTTCGGCCTTAAATAACCCATATAGTTGTTGATATGCCGCTAAACAAATTCAACCAGCCAATGAACAAGATCAATATTTGAAATCGATTATTCCCGCTTAATCAATTATCAACCACGTCATTTTGTTTGATGCAAACGCTGAAGACATTGACGCTAATAATAGGAAGGAAAGAAACGTATTTCATTGGAAAGTATTTTGGCATCTTTACTTAAACGGATAATCTCTTTATCTCTCTCCTCCCCCCTCTCTCTCTACCCTCCCATGTCTCTATCTATCTATCTATCTCTGTGTGGTTTACGGCCACATCACAGTGAAACATCAGTTCCCGTAGGATCACCGGAGTTAAGCAACGTCAAACCGGGTCAGTACCTGAATGTGTGTCTGCTTGGGAATACCAGGTGCCGTAAACTTGAATGTGCGGGTGGTGTAATTGATAATGGCTGGGAATTGTTAATCGAAGATCTGAGTTCCAATTTCAGTTGGGTTCGTTATATTCACTTACGCTCAAATACCCCTGAGAAAGGCATGAATCTACCTATTCTACCCCATGATAGGGGTTTAGTAATAAGTATTGTATCACTAAAGCATTATTATCAACAAAAAACATACATTCTTACAATCTAAAAATATTTGCTGGCTTTAAATAAACTGCAAATTTTGCTAAGCCGTAGAAAACGAATCTATCTATCTATCTATCTATGTGCGTTAAGTTAATTTCTTTGCTACGTACATATATAACAAGGATTACAAATAATTAAAATTCAAACAATAAACAAAAATATGATTGTTATATAGGAATAAAGTGTCGCTGCCGACACTTGAGTATGAACATAGTTCACCAGTGAGCAAACACTGGCGATCCCATTATTGAATTAAGTAGATCACGTGATCATAGTGAAAACGCATATATAGGATGTCACGTGACGTCTAAATTGATCTCAATTTCTAGTCTATCCTCTATTACTATACGGATCTGCATTTCTAGTCTATACTATTTCTTTCCTCTATTCACTATACTATTTCACTATTCAGATCACAATACGAGTTACTTGTCGAGCGAGTATTATCGAACAATTGCTATTACTGCTAGTATTATTCGAAGGCGCCTGAAACCAGTATTGTTCAACGGAGTTACTATAGTTGTATCTGCGATTGCAAAGTCTCTACTACAACGAGCATTTCGAAAGTGACAACGGGTATTCGTTGACGTCACAAAAGTGGCAGCGAGTGTTCGTTGACATCACAAAAATGTTGTTAATTATAAATATCTAAATTTAAGTATTCCATATATTGTGGACATTCCTCTACGAATACGCAACAGATCTCCAGGATACTGCGAGAAACTCTGAAATACTCCTAGATATTTTATTTTAAAATAAAAAAAGTAAACGAAAAACATAAAAAAACAAAGAATATATATGTTTAAACATCAGTCATTGGCTGAATTCCTTCCCTACAATATCATCATAATCAGTAAAAAACTGTATTCATAACATAAATACATACATTTGGTAAAACTCACATAAACACCCTTTCGCATAATACTTTCCTTCCCAATTCTATGATCACATTTTCAACAGGAGGGGCCACTTTCTAGTATTCAAAGGTATCTTTACTTCAATATGTCATTCAAACGTGCCTGTTGCTCGCCCGGAGTTCAATGATACGTAATACAGAATTTCATTTGAATTCCGCCAAATACAGAGAATATTTTTGTTATATAGGAATAAAGTGTCGCTGCCAACACTTGAGTTTGAACATAGATCACCAGAGAGTAAACGCAGGCGATCCCATTATTGAATTTAGTAGATCCCGTGACCATAGAGAAAACGCATATATAAAAAGTCACGTGACGTCTAAATGATCGCCATTTCTAGTTTATCCTCTATACTATACGGATTGCCATCTCTATTCTATCCTCTATTACTATACGGACCGCCGTTCTCTACTCTATTCACTATACCATTTGTCTATTCAGATCCTTTTACGGTGGTTACATTTCGAGAGAGTATTATCGAGCAAGTACTATTAGTGTGAGTGATATTCGAAAGCGTCTGACATCAGTATTGTTCAACGGCATTACTATAAGTGTATCTGCGATTACAAAGTCTCTACTACAGCAAGCATTACAAAATTGATAACGAGTTTTCGTTGGCACTACAAAAGTGGCAACGAGTGTTCCTTGACAACACAGAAAATTTCCTACTAGATTCCTTTTCAAACGTTAAAGACTGTTCTGAAGCGAATAACGATTTTACTCATGCTGGAGTGTCTTAAATTAATTCCCCATCGCCTGTAACTATTTCGATTGTTTTAGTAAAAAGAGAACTATAAGTATGTAAAACCTAACTAATCTAATTTTCCTTAGATTCCCGTGAATAATATTCGTAGCTATCGAAACTGAGATATCTAAAGGTAGGGGAGGTTCAATTAGAACAATTTACCCCCCGTACACTAAATAAAGGGTTCACTTTGAAAATTCCCACTTATATCATCTGAGGAAGGCTGGAGAGTACAATGTCTGAAACGTCCTGAATATTGCAATAAAGATGAGGACAACAGTTCGAACAAATGTAAATAATGTAGATAGGTATTTAGCTTAGTTAAGATATAAGGCAAAATTAGTGGACATTCGAAATCAATAAGAATCAGCACAAGAAAACCGGAAACAATTTTTATCGGACGAGGAACTCTTCATTTTATGACGTATGTTTTCATGGAATGGCTACAAAAATGCTTACAATAACGTCGATATGTTGGACATAACATACAGAAATAAATTATAATTCACGTAAAAAGAGAAGAATAAGATCAGACGTTTAAAAAACATACATCTTCATATAAGGTATACAGTTAGCTCCGCAAAAAGAGGTTTTATATATTGTAGACGATAGTTGTCTAAATGCATTTACAATAAACAGTTGAGTAAACCTCAACTGCAGAATTTAGCCCCCCCACAAAAAAAAAGAAAAAAAAAAGAAGAAAAATCTGTTTATAATCGTCTCCGAATGATTTAATCTAACTTTATTTTGGAAAAGAAAAGATCGTTTAGGCTAACTCACCTCAAATGCTTCTTTTCGGAGTTTTGTTAAGTTTTAAAATAGAATTAAGATAAAATGTATTTGCAGTTTTCAAAGTGAACAGGCAGGACGTGCCGTTTCTTGAGAACAGAGAAACCTTTCCGTTTTCTGACAGAAAGCAATCTGGAAACGTCCAGATAATTATAGCCTTGACCTGAAAAAACAACAACAAAAAAAAACAAAAAAAACAAAAGGTCTGCAAGGAGAACATTACAGTCTAAATATATATAGTGAAAGACGGTAATAAAATTGAGGAAATCTGAAGTGATGACAGCAGATGGGAAGATGAAGAAGAAGAAAGAGAGAAAGAGAGAAAGAGAGAGAGAGAGAGAGAGAGAGAGGGGGGAGGTATGGAGGAACGGTGGAGGTCGAAATAATAAGATATGCTCGATCGGTTTGAAGAAAGACAACCGAAAAAAGCGGAAGTACCAGAAAGGAAGAAAGAATAAGAATATTGAAAAAAGAAAAAGAGGGAGGAAGAGGGAGGAAGAGGAAGAGGAGGAGGAGGAGGAGGAGGAGAGGAGATGATGATGATGATGATGATGATGGACAAGAAGAAGAAGAATTAGTAGGAGAAGAAGAAGAAGAAGAAGAAGAAGAAGAAGAAGAAGAATTAGTAGAAGAAGAAGAAGAAGAATTAGTAGAAGAAGAAGAAGAAGAAGAAGAAGAAGAAGAAGAAGAAGAAGAATGAAAAGAAGCCGAAAGATAAGAAGCAAGAGAAGAAAGTACATTGCAAGAAGAAAAAAGAGAAAGAAAGACACAAGGGACAAGAAAGAAAAATCAAAAACAAAAAAAAAACAAGTAAAGTCACAGTCACGAAAAGAAGGATGGACGGAAGAAAACTCTCAGGTTGGAAGGCGGGGGGTGGGGGCATAGAAGCGGTGATGGAGGTGGGGGAGACATAAAGAAAAATCCCAAATCAACACAAACATAGAAACAGCAAACAAAGGCAATCGTCATTGGCTAATCCCGGATGTTTCCAAGTAACCTGAACCTTCTAATGACAGTTTATGTCTGAATGGCTGCCTGCTAACCAGATTTTTACTCTATGCTCGCCAAACACATGTGAGCCCGAAATTTTCAAATTCGGATACCCTACCCACTTACTTTTCACCGGGATTCCCTCATCAACCACACCCCTAATTTCCCCGCTCAAAACCGAACCCTCAACCCGGCACCTTCCCTTAAACAATTTTACGTCAACGCATTTCTTTTGTGTGTGTTGACTACCCTGATTCATTGTCGGGTGGCGAGGACGGTCTTTGTGGGTTACGTCAAAAATTTCCCAATTCTTTAACAAGATTTTTTCGAGGAGGGGAAAAGAGTAATTATTAACTTTTCGACCCACGGAAGATTTTATAAGAATGAAGCCTAACGTTAAGCGGGTGAACTGAAAATCAAAAAACATTTCAATATTTTTTTGTCTGCCTGGGGGTTGAGAGAGTTGAGTACTTTTACTAACAAGTATGGCTGTTGTTTGGGCATAGTTAAAGACCAGGTTTTCGAATGCGGATTTTAAAGGTGATAAGCTCACCTCAACTTGAATATATATATATATATATATATATATATATATATATATATATATACCATAATGAGAAACCACATATACTTTCGTAATATGTATATATAGAAAAAGTTGCAAATTAAAAAAATAATAATGTTCTTTTATAAGAAAGTATTTATTTATTTGTATATATATTAGATATTTCAGATTGGCCTCAATCTTTATTTCTGAAGAAAGACTGAGGCCAATCTGAAATATCAAATATATATACAAATAAATAAATACTTTCATAAAAGAACATTATTATGTTTTTAATTTGCAACTTTATATATATATATATATATATATATATATATATATATATATATAGTACTAATGTTCAACTAACTAATACATATATATAGTACTAATGTTCAACCAACTAATGTTCAACCAACTAATATATATATATATATATATATATATATATATTTATATATATATATATTACTAATACAAGGACCAAGAGCCATTCATGATAGAGGGCCACTGTGCGGTGTTGCAAACCGTCGTTAGATCTGACGTGCCTTAACCGACTCGGCCACGAAGAAGCTCTGTCGATCAAGCAAGGTCCACACGGTGGCTTTAAGCGAATCCAATTTTCGACATAGATTACAGGAAATTATCATATCTGCTCAGTTCAGTTTTGCAAGAATATGGAGGAGCGAAATCGGCTTTCAAACGAAATACACACTGTACACATCGTTCATAGTCTTCTTTCTCCTATATGGATGAGAAACGTTGACATTATTGGCAAAGACAGAGAGAAGGATACAAGCGT